TTGAAAGGCTATACAGCTAATTAAGATCCAACTTAAGCTATACATCGCCTTCATTTTTCGCTATCATTTTTAGTTAAGTAAGAAGGCTTATGCGACGAGGGGATAAAAAAAATTTCCAATCTTACTCAAATAGTTTAGGGTCATCCATTGTAAGAACTCCATCGTGATTGACATCAATGAATGTAAACCACTCACCCAAATTCCCAATGAGGTACTTATTAGCCTAAAAACAATAAAAACAGTTTTAGACTATAATATTTATATAATTCATGTACAAGTTAAAAATCGATGAATAACATTTTTTTTGCCTATCTAATATGTGCCACTTGAACATTTTTCTTAGGCGTTCGTCTTTCATAAGGCCGACAGTTGACACGATTGATTTGAGGCTAGGTAAGATTTTGTCGACTAAAGCTTGAAATTTATAGAATGTACGAACATAAAGAATTAATAATATACATATAGAGAGTAATCTTTATTTACATTGCTTTGCTCTGAACCTGCAAAAACGCAACATCAGCAGCTTCAAATAAGAAATAAAAAAGTCAATCAGAGTCTATAAAAAAATCATATCAACTAAAAATAACAAAATTCTGTCAATGTTGAAAATGTTGAAAAATGAGTGATGTAAAATAAAGAGGTTATTTTATACATTGTTAAGTACAGTATTGTTTACTATTGGACTCATAAACAGCTGCAAAACATGTATAAGATCCGGCTTTTTCTTCGTCAATTCTATGTTTTATCCCCTGTGTACTCGTCCAGGAGAATAAACTATACACTTTAAAATTATCTAATAAAATATAACTATTTTAGTCTTTTAGTACAACATAAAAAATCATAAAATACTTTTTGAATAACTAACCATTGGCACACAAAGCACACAGAGCAAACGAAGCAAGTACAGCATTCACCATGCAATACATGATCATCCACACGGAGCCGTTGTAATACGTGAGTTTATTACATGCTTTTCGGTGGTTTATAGAAATATATCAGTGATAAAAAAGTGGTAATTTCACTGTTTGAAACAGTGAAATTACCACTTTGATAATTTCACTGTTTTGAATTAAAGTCCCTTACGTTGTTGCAGTGAAATACCAGCGTGCACAGTACTGGGTACCAACTTAATAACGTGTCGTCGTAAATGACGTCACGTTGTATTATTATTTGGCGCGCTTTTCATTCAGTATTAGGTTAAATGTCTTTTTAAAACGTTTCTTTGCATGTAATAAAAAGAAAATTTGTTAAGTTTAGTGTAAGATTGAAATATATTTCACCTTGTGAACACCAAAAGTTCATATTTCACTCGTGGCTCCGCCACTCGTGAAATATACCTTTTGGTGCTCACTCGGTGAAATATATTCCGATCTTACACTGAACTAAACAAATATCCTTTATATAGTATATAAACAATGTAAAAATAATCTATATTACTTTGTTGATGTGATAGGATAATATCGCAACAATATAATAAGTGAGATCTATACAATCCGATGTGCAATATGCTCCTGAAATATGCTCAAGAGCATTGTATTTTACATGTGTGCCCTTTTGTTGTTTTCACGAAAAATCACGAAATATTTGCATATTCAAGAATACGATTTTAAAAAGATTCATTTTCTACAATACTTCACAATAATTCATTAACGGGTTGATAATCTAATCTTTTTCTAATAAATATACTTTCACTTATCTTTGTATGACCTTTGCATTTTGATGAAAGGCTTCAGAAACGACTATATGTTTTTCTCACAACATAATATGTGATGTTGTTGAAATCACGTGAAAATCTATTATTGAATGTGAAATTATTCGTCAGCATAGAGGCAACATTGAAACAAAGTATTTTGACTATAATATAAATATTAAATCACTATGACTATAGATATACAAATGCCTTAAAAGCAAAAGAGACATAATATGGTTAAGAGATATGGTCAACGTTACGAAAATATATATTTAGTTTACCGCTAATAGTGTCATAATTGTCATGACGTGGTACAGGACAGAATAACGTGTGGGCAGATGACCATGATCAGCCACGAGAAATCAGAAGAAGTTACCTAATGTGGGTTTTTGCGTGGTCATTCAATAACAAAATCTTACCAAACAAAGATCGATCAACATGATTATAAATGTGCTAATGATTCCATTTCTTTGCCATTTAAAGTTATAGACACTATAATAGAGAATGGATGGAAGTATATAGGTGTGGAATTCATGATTATGATTCATGATCTAATTTTGGTTTCATTTACGCTTTCGTATACGCTTAGCTCAATATAGATCTGATTGGAAATACTTGGGGGCGAGGCGAAATTTGTCTGTGACAATTAATCTCGTCATTAAGTCTAAGTCCGTCACTTGTGAATAAAATGGAAACAGTTGGTTACTTATCCGCGAAATCCTGTAAGTTGGATACACGGCTGTAATATGGCAAAAAGACAAACAATGCAAAATGAGTCTTTAAGTTAAAGAAAATACTACAACAAATTTGGATAGATACACCTGTTTGAATAATAAACCCGTGCAAAAGGCAATGCAAAATAAACCCAAACAAAATAATAAACCCATTCAGACAGCAATGCAAACTAAATTCAAACATAATAATAAACCCATGCAAACAGCAATGCAAAATTAATTCAAACAGAATAATAAACCAATTCAGACAGCAATGCAAAATAAATTCAAGCAGATAAAGTGTCATTATTTGATCCCTGAATTATTGATATCTTTAATTTCGTTTGATGTCGATGTCAAGCTAGTTAATATGCAATATTTATTTGCTAGATATCAAAGCTTACTATGCATATTTCCTGTTTGTCAGTTAGTTATGACTGTCCTTCATTTCTCAACATGTATTGATTGTGCTATTTGCATTATCACTTTTTATTGTAACAGGCACATACATAAGTTAAACAAATTGTTTTTAAGATAAAATATAAACATTATGTCAATGTATCAAAATAATTTACGATGATATCTTAGATATCATGTAAATATTTTAATAAGAGTATTCAAATGATAGGTGCTTGTTTTATATAACATACTTTCCTTAGTTCAAGTGAAATCGCAATGATATTGATTAACTCAGTATTTGTATTTAACCTTATAAAATATTCTTTGTTCAACCATTTGTCGTTTGAATTTTCAAAGATAAGTGCAATTAAAGGGATGATGGTAAATTACTTGTAGTTTCTTATATATTGTTTACTTAAATAATAGAATATTTTAGTCATTAATATGTTTCAGTCGAAACAATAGACATTTACATAACACCGTTTAAAGTTTTACATGCTCCCTTCATATTTTACATAAGTATTTTTACCAGGTGTGCAAAACGTATGCTTATTATAGATATCATAAAATATGATGGGAAATATATCCAAATTGGAAATATATCCCAAACATTGTATGCAGCATACTGTGATCTTGAATATGGATAATAATCACACGTTTGTAAATGATAATCAAATATGGCGACAAAAGGCATATAATTCATGTTCATTTCTATTTGCAATTTTATTGAATACAGTGTTGCTTTATGGCATAGGTAAAATAATATATTGATTTAGAAACATCTGTTTTATATCATGGACTAACAAATATGTTGATGCAACGGCTGGCTTAGTAAATTAGCTAAGAAATGAGTTCAATTCAAAAATCAACATCAACATACAGATATATGAAGACAGCTGTTTTTTCTTCTTAATAAATCCGTTGCAACATTAGATACGCAAGGATATTGCAGCATTGAACAAGGTAAATGAGAATAAGATTATAGACGGTACATCTTGTTGTTCTGATATTTCAATATGGAAACGTGAAATTGGTAAACATATCTTTTATTTTGAAAAAAAAAATAATTTAAAATACTAGAATTACGTAACATCAATCGATAGTTCAATTATTAATTTACATTTCAGGTACGGATCAAGGGGAGCAAAGTGGGCACAGATGTATTTCATCTGACTTATACTTTATCGTAATCATCGATCTTTATTCGAAATTGTGTTTTGATCTGTCTATTTCATGTTTAAATGTTGAATTCTGCTTAAGCCGGTGCTAGGGGGCGTGGACGGTAATTTGCACTTTCCAGTACCGTCAATCTAACCGAGCCTGCAACATTTTCAATTTTGCCGTGTTGGGCTTTCTATAGGGATTCTGTATTTATCTATTTTATGATCACATCCGTGTTATTTGTGCCGTGTTGCGGCTGTAAAAAGTCTCCCCGTACATTTAATCAATGATGTTATATTTTCGATCCTTGAAGATCGTCCAGCACGACATTATTGTTGTGCTTGTGGTATTTTTAGTTTCAACTTTTCGGCATTTTCTAGTTGGGTGGTTCCAATATTCCTACTTGAATAATGTTGAATCACCCTTAGGATATGTTGCCTGCTTTTTAAATTTGTCTTTTGACGTCTTATCTGTGATACGCAGGCTTCATAACCTCTGATCCCCTTTCAAAATTCCATTTTATTTAGTTCCGCCCATTGTTTTCTCGTTTAGGACACACGCTTTTTATTACTTGGGGACCATACGCCGCTTTTCATGGAATGGTACGGAAGTGTCACATTGAAGGTTCCATGATAACCGCCGTATGAACACATCTGCGGATGTTTCTAAATTCAAAATTTTACTATTTCATATTTAAATGTTGAATTCTGCTTAAGCCGGTGCTAGGGGGCGTGAACGGTAATTTGCACTTTCCAGTACCGTCCATGAACAGGCTCAATCTAACCGAGCCTGCAACATTTTCAATTTTGCCGTGTTGGGCTTTCTTTAGGGATTCTGTTTTTATCTATTTTTTGAAATACTTTTTGTGATATTCATTTTATTAATGTTCATACAATCGCCAAGTGCTTTACCATTACAAGTTCATTTGTTTAAAGATTAGTCAAAAGGAAAGAAGATTGTACTGATATGTTTGTATGACAAGCTAATATTCTATTATACAGATAGTTAACTGAATAGATATACACTCAATTACGACAAACATGGACTCACAGCGAATAAAGATGTATTTCATGGTTGCTTTGTGTTTAAATGGTAAGTTTTTGTATCTTTTGTGTTGAATAGTCTAGGTTTGTGAAAAGTATGATGCATTCTTTTTTCATCCAAATTATGTTTTGCCCTTAAGTTGTATATAGCGATATTTTCCTTGTTCTTATCTTCAGATATAATTGCTCTATATATACTTAACGACTTTGCAAACTCACTATTTGTCTAAGAATGTTAACAAAACAAAGACACTTCTAATATAAATACATGTATACTTCATACGTATTGTTAATTATAAAATAATCGCATGCTAAAAACAGTGCTCTCAAATCGAAAGTAACACTTTTGACTACTTAGATTGCTACCCTTTACAGAACGAAACATCATGGTTCCTGAAAAGATGTGCTTTTATTAATATAACATTGTTTTTTGTACGATGCATTTCTATCGTCTGAAATTTCATCTTAATTTATAATTGAGTTCAACAAATGAGTATTTTATGTTTGCTCCTCAATGCAATATAATGTTATATATGAAATGGAATACATTGTTCAACATTAGCCAATATTATCTTATGAAAATTCATGCAAACCAATCTTCATTTATAAAAAAGAACTGAATTTGATGAATTTCCCAATCTTGTTAAGAATACATGTTTCAAAGATGATCAAGCTACCAAGATATCGAAGCTGGATAGCTTAAGGAATAATAAAGGCAGGCATTGTTAACACTTTTTTAACTTTAAAAGTACCTCGACTCAGCACTATCTCATGTCTGACAGCGGCAACCAACGGAAAGTGACAATTTTGTGTCTCAACAAGGACTACAACAAATAGCCAACCCGTTTCAGGTAGCCGCAGGAAACCGCAAGGATCATTTCAGAACACCAAAAATTCTATAATCCATTATTTCAATGTAAGGTCTTTTGTCGCCAATAATGGTTGCCATCCGAAGTGTCATTTATATTTTATGGATTGATTCACACCTCATGTTATCAATCGGACTTGTGTAAACTTAGTTTTTAACATGTTTTGATATGTTTATTGTTAAGTTTATGTTTTATAAGGTATATAAAAGATATAGATTTCATGGAATCATTTTTTAAAGTTATTATCGCATATTAACCACTTTATTTACAGGCGTCCGTTTTCAACGTCTTTGAGTATATATCAATAAATTTTCATATAAAATGCAATTATTTTATAATCTGACTTACTTATGCCAAAACTTTAAGACGTTTTAGGGGGTATTGCAAATGTTTTACAAAGTCAAAAAAGACAATCAAACTTGCGCAGATAAATAAAATAAATGATAACCTTCCAATTCATTTGTCTCAGATATGATTTCTTGATTATTTGAAAGAGAAAAACATGTATTCTAGGATCTAATTGGCTCATTTTCATTGTTATTTACAAAGTTGAACATAACATTTTAAGCCTATTATAGCATTCGGCACGATATGGCCAGTTATGTGTTGACGTGCCGTAAAAATCAAAATAAACAAACAAACCAATTTTATTTTTTGAACGTTTCGTTCTAGTTAAATTCTTTCTTCTTCTTTAGGAACGCACCTCTTCCGATAACGTCTCTAATATAATGTTCTTTTGCATGTAAGTATATATACCCAACATTTCTCAATTCCTCACAATTTTCTGCGATAAAGAAAGAAAGAAAACAAAAAGACGCCATTCCCTAATCTCACTCACTGTAAAAATGACATAACCATTCGTTATTTAGTTACTCAAAACTTCAGTAGTCTGCTAAGGACATTAAACACATGTAGAACATTGGTTATATTTTAATTGTTCTTTTACTTTTGTGTTTCTTTTGTTCTTGTAGATGTTTTGGTTTCTGTATGTGGTGAAGAAGAACAAGACAAGGTGAAAACATTTTATCTTTCTTTTGAATCAAACGGTATTTTTTATCTTGCCTACCACTAATAAAGTATCTGCTATTTCAGCAAAGGAGACGGTTTTTCGGTTATTATTGTTTGAATGATTGAAACTCAGAATCAGTCTGCATGAAGTTTGAAAATATAAGCTAGTAACATGCATTTAAACTTTGTGTATCATTGCACCTTTGTGATACTTACATTATATACAACCTCGTTAACATCCATGGTGTCTATTCCACTTGACATTTTGTGGTCAACACGGGGCTGAAAACTAATACAAAATACATTGAGATTTTATTACGGTAAATTTTGTTTAGGATATCTACCAACTAAAGTAAATCTCTTTGTATATAATTTTATTATTAACTGTTTGTAGAGCAGGAAACTAGTACTATGCCATCGTTAACAATTCACGACATTAAGATATTGAAGACTGAAGATAAACTACTTAAAATGTTATGTATTGAATATTCTTACCCCGATGTTGTTTTTTTCTGAGCTCGAATATTTTTAATTTTATTAGTCACTTTACATTATATGTCGAATTCTTATCAATAAAACACTTGTGATTTTAACATTTTTATTTACAATCACAGATATTTCTGTCTTGAGTCTAAATATCAGGCACATTTCAAAAAACAGATTTCCTTTTCACCTTCAGGCGAACGGTTACCTTATTGAGAAATGGGAACAAATGTTTTACGTAAACGACATAAATAGGGACGCAAAGCTAACTATGGATGACGCAAAGCAGTTTGAGTAAGTTAAAACATGATTATGCATATACGTTTATATTGAGGTCTTAAAAGGTGCTTTTTGAAGATAGAATGCTCAATCATAAGCAATCTTTTTAACATATAAGAATACCTTTAAGAACTAAATGAATATTGTGCAGCATATTTACGTTCATTAAGAATTTTATTATCAAGGGAGATAATGAATGTTTTTTGTCGTCAATTCATTTTTCTCAAGTTAAGCCACTTAATTTTTTTTCTGACAGGAAATATTACAAAGATTATCTTGTTGATCAACAGCTGAAGTCTCTTACAAAACGAATAGATAAGGTGTACAGGACAATCCTCTTAAACAACAAAAAAGAAATCGCAAAAGAAGACTTTGTTGACATGATGAAGCAGAAGTATGAATCTGACAAAAATACCTTCATTGAGATGGTACGTGAGTATATTTCGGAATGGTGCAAAGCAATGGACCTTAATGGGGACAAAAACATTTCAAAACAAGAATTTATTATGGATATGTTTGCTGAAGGGAATAAAAATGCACGAAAAGAGGCGAAGTTTTTCCTCACCTTTAAACCTAAAAATGGGCAGATTCCCGTTGACGAGATAATTTCTGACTTTATTCGCTTTGCAACTGAAAGTAATCCGTCCAAAATTGATATCATAAAAAACGAAAATGATTCTAATGTTTGATTTTTATTTTGTTACATATCATTGTCTTGAGATATGCAGACCATTAAAATGGCAGAGCCAGTCTTTGTCGTACCACTTAATTAGTGTTATTGTCAAAACAAAATGCATTTTGTTTCTTGTCTCATTTAAAACTTGCAACTGGGGATATGGATTTCGTGTCAACATGTTAATCTATACTCAACACATAAAATACGGGATCGTGAAGATAATGTAAGACTCAAGTAAAGGCATATGTTAATTAAAATGTATAGTCAAAATTTGTTAATGATATGAAAATGTAATCAGTTATGTTGAATTTCCTTGGACCTGAGTGCAATGAGGTAATGTATCTTGATATCTGAACAAAACGTTGTATTAAGCTAATGTAACTTTAGAATTTATATTATTATAAAAATATTTACCCGTGCTGCTTTTGCAACTCTCGACGAGACGTCACTTCTATAAACATGGTGTAAAGACGAGCTTAATGTTATCGTTACACTATAGGCTCGTCCTAGAAAAATGATCGTTTACTCCTTTAACAGTCTTTATTTTGGGTATGTGATAAGTAAAATATTATATTTTATAGATTCATCACTGAATTTATTGAACTTATGCTCATTCAGTAACCTTAATATATCGAAATTAAAAGAGATTATTTAATACATATTTAATGAAGCTGCTGACCTTACCGTGGGGTCATAAAAAATGTTAACTGCATAAACATACAACTTGCAAATTTTGTAGCATAAAACATCCTTAAAACAACACTATGAACAAACATAAATTTCAATTGGACAAACATACTTATAAACGCATGGTTTCAGTCTTTTTTTTTGTTAGCGTTAATTGCCACTAATACGAGATCACAGGTACCTTAAACATGGTTATTTAATGTTGAATGGATCACATGAATCTGGACGAAAAACATTGGCTCGCAACATTACAAATATGCTTTTTCAATTTGGGTTTGAATAAGTATGAATGTCTCATGATGCCGGTGATGACTCAGATTTCATTATTATGTTTATGTAACGCTTAGATGATAGCTGTTCACAAAACGGGCATAATGTTGATTTTTCACCGCATGTATTTTCATTTCTTTCCATACACTGCCTGTCATCAGCTGATTAAAGTGGAGAATAAATACAATATGATGAAAAAACACGACAAAAAGATCTACCAATACTCCGCCATGTTTTTGTCGGTTTACCTTTATCTTATATTAAAATACTATCGTCATGTACAAAGCTCGAAATAGTTTTGACGTTCTTTCGGGAAACAATATTTGGAAAATTTCCCTAGAAGAAAAAATATAAGCTCGATCGTTTAACAAGAAGTCTACTTTAAGGAAAAAACATCTTATCAAAAAAGATGTTTGGCAAGTGCCAAATCGTTATTTTTACCTCATTATATAAATTATATTCAACTTGCTTTATACCTGTAAACTGCAATCATAACATCAATCTTATGACGAGCAGACATTCATAGACTAAAAATAAATAAGTCATTAACTACGCAATTAGCTAATTATTTATGCCATTTCTGGTTTACAGTTAAGCCATAGGGAAATATCTTTGCAAATACAAAACCAGACCTCGTTTGAATTGAAATGTGTTTTTACTTTTTAGTATATTTGGAAATGCTAGTATTTAAATATATACAAATGTTCTGCCATCTGTATTGAATATACGGTGACTATATGACGTTGAATTGTGTATTTGTATATTCTGAAAGTTTTTATATCACATTGATATTAATTATCCCTTTATGATATTGACATTAAAGGAAAGTTCGAATAGGTAAAAGTCGCGGAGGAGTGTAAATGGTGAAGAAAAACTCCAGTTTTCGCACACAACTGTAGCTCATTGACCGAAGACCCTTTTTTCTAAGAATATCACACCTTTTTGTGTCTTTTGAACAAGGGGAAACAGCTCGTCATTTTTTTTTTCATGACTCTCCTCTTTTTCAAAACATAAGACCTCTGTTTATAACTTGTATACGCATATAGTGTCATGTTTCTTTAAATACTATACTCTTTGGTAACACGGCACTTACAGACACGGATAATGAGAAAATATTTCTTGCAGTTAACAAACATATTGAAAAATCGAATCGCTTTGACTCACCAACAGTTATTTATATCATTAAGGACTAAAATACTGGTCATTTTTTCAGGATTTATTTCTGATTTCTTTTCTATCTCATTTTTCTTTCTATCTGAACTCACCCAAATAAAATATAATTTTCATTATTTTTATAATTTATTATTATTTTCTTTTTATTTTATTTGTCAATCATTTTATATTAAGCATTAGGTTGCTTCCAGTCTTATACATTTTTTGTATTGTTTATAAATGTCATGTTTGTATATAATTATGTTCTAATGTGACGAACAGAATATATTTAAACCAAGAATGAATTTTAATCTGAAGTCATTGTTATACTGAAGTTTAATTAGCGATAAAGGGTAATTACATATCGTTAAACGCATATGATGTAGTTTAAAGGTGCTCTACCAAGGTCCATCTTTCTAAAAATATAAAAGTTTATATTCGTACATAATAAAATAAAACTGCACTCTTGAAACGAAAAATATATAGAGAAATATACTATTTAAACCGATATTTAGTACGTTTAATAACATGATTTAGAGACGGATTTGAGTAAAAAGAGTTCAAACTATGATTTCGTAGTCAATATGCACTATTTTATATGTTATTCTGGAAAACTGAAGTAAGCAAATGATTTGACTTTCACCAAAAAGGTGAAATTAAATCTCTGAAAAATAATCCTAGTCAGGCTTCTACGGAGTCCATTTATTACTGATTATTATCAAAATCTCTGTCCGTTTATTAGTACGAGAGGTGTTCTAATTATTGTCAATCACCACGTTATCAGATTTTATTGCTTACAAAAATCGCACAAAGAGATTTATTCATGTAAAGAAATGTATCATTCATATACCGATCTCATTTGAATTGAAAAATAAATGATGTAGCTGAGATTATTTCTTAGGACTTTCGAAGCAAATAAATGTCCTACAGAAACATTGTGAAACAAGTAAAACAGATGGGACATAATGTTTCTGTGCATCACATGCAACATAGTAAAGGTGCTATTCGAAATAACATATGCAAGACAGGTAAAAGTGGTTCTTTTACCAAACGTCAAACAGCTACTGCTGCTGCTCCTACATAAAATCCGTATAATGATTACGTTTGCGAATCCTCCCACACAAAGAAAAATCTTATCCATTCGAAAAGCAAAGCTCAGGAAAAAGTGTTCATAGACTTAGTGACGCCAAGATTTTGAAACGACGTGCTCGCTCATGATGCCTATATCTCCGTCTTAACTGTGGAAATGGAAAAAACGTTGGTCCCACAGATGAGCCTATGATTTTTATGGGCGGTAGTTACGGTCGACGTCGTGCTTGTTACGTTCGAACTAATGAGACAGAACTGACAAAACTGAAGTTTGTAAAACGAGATGCACTTATTCTTGGGTTTATGGTTTTGGCCGGGGTTATTAACTACGGCATGACATCTCTATTCTTTATCAATAAAGGGAGAAAAGTCAATGCAAACTAGTACATAGACAAAGTTCTAAAGCCATTTCTCAAAAAAGATATAATTTCTATCATATAGCGGACATCATTTCAAAGCATAAGTGCTTTAGATTATCGTTAACCAATATCCGGCATTATTTAAATTTAATATCATTAATTAATTAACAAAGAGTCTAGTACAGAAATGTATCCTCAGCATGGGTTTCTATCTCCGCAGGTGTCCCTAAAGGTTCAATTCTTGGTCCCCTTTTGTTTCTTGTTTACATCAATGATATCGTAAATGACATATCTTCTAACATAAAACTTTTTGCAGATGACACGAGTTTGTATATAGTCGTAGATAACCCACTTACTGCAGCAACCAGTCTTAACTCAGACTTAGATCGGATACATTCTTGGGCCAATACTTGGCTTGTTTCTTTTAATTCAGAAAAAACAAAAACAATTACTTTTTCAAGGAAATTATCTAAATCGTCTCATCCTACACTTAGTAATAACTCTATACCAATATCTCAGGTCACATCACATAAACATCTTGGTGTTACTTTATCTCATGATGCCCGTTGGAAAACTCATATTCATCTATTACTTGATAAGGCCTGGAAACGAATCGGACTACTCAGAAGTTTTAAATTTCTTTTATCACGAATAAGTTTAGAACGCATGTATTATTCATTCGTCCGCCCATTTCTTGAATATGCTGATGTAGTCTGGGATAACTTAACTGACGAACTAAATAAGGAAATAGAATCCGTTCAAAATGAAGCAGCTAGAATAGTCGCAGGCGCTACCAAACTGTGTAATATTAACAAACTCATCAGTGAACTTGGGTGGGAATCATTAGAAAATAGAAGAAATAAACACAAATTAATCTTATTGTATAAAATGAAAAAACATATATCACCTTCTTATCTTTCAAATCTTCTAACTCCCACCAAACAAAGTACATATAACAGTCACGTGATCAGTACAAGCGGACACGTTATTTTGAGCTCTCGATATTTTTTACAGAAAAACGGATTTAAAGTTGATATAGAACTTTTTTATGTTCACACAAGTTTGAATAAGGAATACATATTGTGCTATGTTTTAAAACTATGACAAGAAAAAGGAATAAAGGGAGTAGTGGAAGCGAATCCGATGAGATATTGAACCCCAAAAAAGCAACAAAGAAAAGAGGCCCTTCAGAGGGTACAGCTGACAATTTGAATGTAAGTGAAATATTGAATGAGACACATGCTATTCTATTTGACTCTCAACATTGTGAAGTGGAGAGAAATAATATAAAGTGCAAAGCTAGTGCTAACAACAAGGAGATGCAGAGTATGGCTTCTTTTAGCGATATAGTAAGAAAGAGCCCAACTTCTACAATGTCTTCGAAACAAGAGGATACTAAGGAATTATTTAAAACAGGTACGAGTGAAAGTACTAAATTGGACTTGTTACTAGAGACAGTTATGGATATTAAGAAAAGTCAGGATAGCATGAAACGTATGTTCGAATCGAAATTAGAAAAATTCCGATCTGACCTGATGGAGAGCATCGATACGAAAATACGGGCCTTACGTGAC